TTCCCTTTTTTTGCAGTAAACACTGTCTTTTCAGAGAAAATGCAGTGTTTACATTACAGCCTAGGTATACCTCCACTGGCCACTACTCAGATGGTTAATAAATGTGCTTCCTGGGTCAGTGCTGCACCGTGTGACTGCCATTCAGTGTCTCCACCCTCTGCATGCAGACACTGAACATTCCTCATAGAGATGTATGATTCAATGTAGCTCTATGAGGAGAAGCTGATTGGCCAGGGCTGTGTTTGACTTGTGCTTGCTCCACTTTTGATCTGCCTCTTTGACAGTCTCAGCTAATCCTATGGGGAAGTGTTGTGATTGGCTCGAACCACCACTTCTACTGATGTCAGCCAAACAGTAAGATCAGGGGCAGAGCCAGCAGCAGCAGACTGCAGTAAAGGTAATATTTTGCTATATTTAGGGGGGCAGGATGGATCAGATGGTGTTTTTGTCACTATAGGGTCAGGAATACATGTTTGTGTTGCTGACCCTATAGTGTTCATTTAAGTCAAGGGTATCCAAACTGAAATTATAGATTTTTTTCCCAAGATTTTTTTTGTCTTTAATCAAGCACCTGCTTCAGCCGCAGTGAGATCATCACAATCGATAATTCTGAGTAATTGATGCATCTCATAGAGGAGCCATAATTCAGATAAGAAGCACTCACAGCATCGATTGTAAAGACTTTCAGTGAATATAAGTCTTAATTGAAGAAGTGCCTCTTGTGGCTGACTGATTGATTGATTGAGTGATTCAATGACTGCTGCTTGATTGCCTGATTGACAGGCACTAGAGGCGTTCTGACTCAAAAATATAAACAGTGTAATTTGTCAAAAATCACAATGCTTACATGTGTCGGAGTGTAGGGATTGCTTACACTAAAACTACTAAATTAAGATAAAATCGTGTTGGCAATTACAATGTTTATTTTTTGAGTGAAAATAGAAAATAAGTGGAAATTTGATTTGGTGCCCAATGATATTACAATCTAACCTTTAAGTATGTTATAGTAGCGTGGATTTTCTCGTGTAACTGACACTGATAGCACTTCGTTCACTCAAATCTGAGGGGGGGATAATGTTAGCTCTGAGTGATGATAGACTGTATTCTAATGACATCACTGGGAAAAGGAACATGACATCAATACTGACATCACTTGGAAAAGGAACATGCCTTTAACACAGAAATGATGTATATTTATTACTTGTGTTGCTAGTGCTCTCTTTTGAAGTTATTTTTAGCGAATGTTTCATGGCACAATATGCCAAGTTTGGGGGCAGGGGGGAAGAGTGTCCTAATCTCTCTACCTCCCCTTCCAATGAATCACACAACCCCACTTACTCCACTGTTCTATGCTCATTTGCACCTACTACAGTAGAAGAGGTTTCTGCTCTTCTCCGGTCCTCAAGCCCCACCACCTGTTCCCTCGATCCTATCCCTCATATCTCATTCGTACTCTGTCTCCCTTTCTTGCTCTTCCTCTCACTAAAGGTTTCAATCTCTCCCTTTCCTCCGGCACATTTTCTTCACTCTTCAAGCATGCAACTATAACGCCAATTCTGAAAAAGTCCAACCTCGACCTCAACTCCCCATCCAACTACCGTCCTATATCTTTACTGCCGTTTGATTCCAAGATCCTTCAGAGAGTTGTGTATGTGAGATTGACAGACCTACGTCTCTGTCCGTACCCCCACATCTGATGCTCGCCTCCAAGACTTCTCCAGGGCTGCAGCTTTTCTGTGGAACTTCCTTCCCTTCTCCGTTAGACTTTCATCCAGTCTCCACTCCTTCAAAATGCCTTTGAAAACACACTTCTGCAGGATAGCATATCATTTAAACTGTTAGTGGATTTTCATACCCCCTCCCCATGACTCCCCTCCTGCAACTGTCAAAAATAACCTACTAATACTTTTCTTAGCAACCTATTTTATTACCCCTACTTATACCCTTTGTGTCACTATACCCTACTCCCTCTAACATGTAAACTCACTGAGCAGGCCCTCAATCCCTCTGTTACTGTGTCACTATACCCCACTCCCTCTAGCATGTAAACTCAATGAGCAGGGCCCTCAATCCCTCTGTTACTGTGTCACTATACCCCACTCCCTCTAGCATGTAAACTCACTGAACAGGCCTTCAATCCCTCTGTTACTGTGTCACAATACCCCACTCCCTCTAGCATGTAAACTCACTGAGCAGGCCTTCAATCCCTCTGTTACTGTATCACTATACCCCACTCCCTCTAGCATGTAAACTCACTGAGCAGGGCCTCAATCCCTCTGTTACTGTGTCACTATACCCCACTCCCTCTAGCATGTAAACTCAATGAGCAGGCCTTCAATCCCTCTGTTACTGTGTCACAATACCCCACTCCCTCTAACATGTAAACTCACTGAGCAGGGCCTCAATCCCTCTGTTACTGTGTCACTATACCCCACTCCCTCTAGCATGTAAACTCAATGAGCAGGCCTTCAATCCCTCTGTTACTGTGTCACAATACCCCACTCCCTCTAACATGTAAACTCACTGAGCAGGGCCCTCAATCCCTCTGTTACTGTGTCACTATACCCCACTCCCTCTAACATGTAAACTCACTGAGCAGGGCCCTCAATTCCTCTGTTAGTGTGTCACTATACCCCACTCCTTCTAACATGTAAACTCACTGAGCAGTGCCCTCAATCCCTCTGTTACTGTGTCACTATACCCCACTCCCTCTAACATGTAAACTCACTGAGCATGCCCTCAATCCCTCTGTTACTGTCACGATACCCCACTCATGATGTGAATGGTGCTTATTGAAAAGCTTTGTGACGAGACCAATCTCGCCACTGTGCATTGGAGGAGCCTGGTTGCCTGCCTGCTGCCTTTTGACTATGGACCGGCATTTAAATACTTTATTTTCCTATGCAGAAAGGTCTATTCCTGTATTTCTGCCCTGGCGTTCAGTAGATTCTCTGATTTTCTGAATGAACTCATTTAACCCAGATAGCTATGCCATGGAGCCTATTCGTGTAATAAAAGACTTTGGCTCCATGGTGATTGAACTGTATGTGTGTGCTCTGAGCGCCATTCAGTAATAATGTGCGCTCAGACCTAAGCTATCTGGGCATATGTTGCATGTCTGTATTTTATGTAATAAATGTAACCTTGTGTATTTTATTGTATCTTACTGCCATGTGCTTAATGGAGTTTTGCCTCTGTCCTTGGAGATAATTGGATTACTTCTAATTATCTCCAGGATAGAAGACTCTGTGGAACTGGTTTTGGGCAGAAAAGCCATGCTTCATTTGGTCACAAAGGACTTCAATCTATCTTTTGAACCAATGGACCAATGTGGATGATTTTGACATATGATTGTATTTGGAGTGTGCTAATTCTGAAAATGTATGTGAATGTGATGCATACTTTTCAAGTTATGAATAATGTGGAAAAACTGTATTTACCTATTGTTGTTTTCCAAAACCCCGTGGGTGGTACTAAAGTGTATATAAGAACAATAAACCCACAGCTCGGGCTGTTCACTGCTTGACCCTCAAAATGGAGCCTTGTCTCGTTCTTGGGGGATTTACTATATGCTGTTAGAGACTGATTGCCAGGAGTGTAAGCCGCTTGGGGGCTTTTCCTGTTCAGCTGCTAGCAGCTATTTGTGAGGGTCCAGTTCGGGAGTTTGGAGCATTCCCTTGTTTACAGTTTGGGAGTTTGGTGTTCTGCAGTAGCTGCCTGTGTCTCTGGAAGGGGAAGATCTACTAAACGGCTTTTAACCCCTTTTATGCCTGGGGGTGTCGTTACAAGCTTCATTTAGATGAAGAGCTAATAGAAGCATTAAAAAAAGATATGACGTGGACTCAATGGATTCTATATGAAATTTTGGTCGCGTATGAATTAATACTCATCTTTTTCTATCCTTCCTTCTTCACTACAACCCTTGCTTTCCTCTTCCAAAGCTCTTCCCTTCTCCATCTCCCCTCTTTCTATTTATCCTTAGTTGTGTCTGTTCCAATTCCAATTCTTCCCTTCATTCTACATGTCTCTCGCACCACTATACCCCACAAACAATCGACTCTAATAACAGGTTACAATGTAAGGGAAGCAAACACTGTGGCGTATACTGTAGGCATCAAGCTTAGAGATTCTATAAACGTGTTGAAGAGAGGACAGTAAATATGTGACCGTCAATGGATGTATCTGTGTGGGACAAGAGAACAAGATACAAGACCAAGCTCCTATACAAAATGATTGGCCAAACTATTTATTAATCCCGCATCAGTGTGGTCAGGGAATAAAATCCTTCCTAATCCTCCCTAAAATTTACATTAAAATATAAAGTCTATCTTATTATCTCTTCCTTCTGGGACGTGAACGCTCTCGGTAAGCTGGTATCATTAACAAAGCTCTAAGCAGTCACTTAACTACATCAATAAATACAAGTGATCTGCCTTTATGAGGCTGGTAAAAGTAGTTGAGCAATTTATTAGTCTGACAGTAAAACAAGTTCTTCACTACCTTGAAAATCCTTTTACATACACTTTCACTGGTATGTACATTCGGACATTAAAATGTAATGTTTAATTATCTGATAGGTCTATGCATTTAATATATTCTTTCATAATTTTTTAACGATGCATATATTTTTATTATATAATTACCTTCAATAAATCTTCCCCTAGTCAGCCAGGGCAGCTATTCTGAGTGATTTTGGTTAGACTCAGTCATTTCCTGACCTAACAACACTCTCGCTAGAATGGCTGCTGTGTATTCTCAGAACTCTCCCGTTTGCTGAGCCCGTATTGGTTGCTCACTATTTCTCTCTTTCTGGGACTAGCCATCTTCAATTACCACTTGGTCAGAAGCAAAAACTGCTTTAGGTCATGTTTTCTAGATGCCTGGAGTCTGTACATAGTTTCAGGATTTGGGAACAAGCATTACTTTTATATCGCTGTATGGAATTTGTGACGTAAGTGGTACGTCCAACCCAATCTAGTTGAGGTAGTTGTCTACCTCAGTGTTCTCCAACCCAGTCCACATGGACCACCAACATTCCAGGTTTTGTCAGTATATCCAATGGAATAAAACAGGAAAATACATAAATCCTGAACTGTTGGTAGTCCATGAGGACTGGGTTGGAGAACACTGGCCTACCTTAACTAGACAACGAGAATCCCACTGGGCACGCGTTTAATACATTATACATTAATACATTAATATGAATACATTCCAAAATAATGCATATAATCTTTCATTTTAAATAAATAATGACAGTCTTCATTTAATATTTGTTAATTTAATTCATATGCCTTTTACGACGTGCTATACTTAAGAATTTTATATTTGACTAGCTTTTGCAAATCATAGAGTAAAACAAATATTCTAAGAAAAGTAGTAAAAGTTTGTACGTTTGCCTGATATTTAACGTTTTTGTAATATAATTGGCTGATTTTCGTATTTTATTAGAAGACGTTTTGCCTAGTAATGGTGGATTTTTCTTACATATTTAATTTCTTGAAACAATAGAATGTTGACGTCTCAGCGCACATCATCCCCCTATTATGACAATTTATGGTCACTTTTGCCTTTCTTCTAATAGAGACAGAAGGAACTAGTCACAAGGGAATACGTGCATAAAACAAACTCATTATGGTGTAATCAAATTGTACAAAATCCAGGATTAATAGCTGTTCGACTTCACAGTTAGCTAATTTTTCTAAGAAATAAAAATTGTCATTAAAAATCCTGCTTCTGTAATACTTTATATGGCTAATTTATTTTTTTTGTGAAGTTTCACACAAAATTTTGACAAAGAAACAATAAAACTACAGAAAGACGTTTGTCTGTGAAGGAACATTTCCATTTCATACGCAGAATGCAGCATATAATGGTTTGGATTTAGACACTAGTGTACCTATTGAAATTGTACGTGCAATGCTAAATAGTTTGCACTTAAAAATGTGGTTTATTGGGTCTCAGTCACGATCAAGATTTTTTTTAAATAAACCCTTAGTAAGATCACAGCTTGGGCTGGTGATTTAACTAATGTTTGAGGGTCTCTGCTATGAAGAATCAGGCTGTGCTACAAAGATCCAGATTCTACTAGCTACACTCTGGAATGGAAGCCTAAACCATATTAAAATACTCTGCTTTGGCACTAGAGAATATACTATGAATATCTGAATTTTAGGCTTTTCCAAGGAGATCCAGGCTGTGCTATGAAGACTTTATGGTCTTTATGGTTTGCTTTAGATGTCCATGCTCAAGGCTTTTCAGACTGTACTATAAAAGTCTTGTTTCTAAGCTTTTCTATGGAGGTCAGAGTTGTACTATGAAGGTCCTGGCTCTAGGCTTTTTTTATGGAGGTCCAGGTTGTATTGTGACGGGCCTGGCTCTAGGCTTTGTTTATGGAGGTCCAGGTTGTGCTATGAAGGTCCTGGCTCTAGGCTTTTCTATGGAGGTCCAAGTTATATTAGGAAGGTCCTGGCTCTAGGATTTTTATGGAGGTCCTGGTTGTACTGTGAGGATCCTGGCTCAAGGCTTATTTATGGAATGTTCACGTTGTACAATGAAGGTCCTGGCTCTAAATGGTCTATAGAGATCCAAGTTGTACTATAAAGATTGTGGTTCGAGACTTTTTTATGGAGATCCAAGTTGTACCTTGAATATCCAAGGTCTAGGCTTTTCTGAATAGCTTTTCATGCTGTACTCTGAAAATTAAGACTGTACTATCTTAGCCCACGTTCTAGGTTATGTTATGAAGGTACAGGTTCTAATATAAATACTAGGTAAATACTCTATGCTATCTTGTAGGTTCCAGGATATGTTCTAGAGGTCAATATTTATATATACTACAGGGAGTGCAGAATTATTAGGCAAGTTGTATTTTTGAGGATTAATTTTATTATTGAACAACAACCATGTTCTCAATGAACCCAAAAAACTCATTAATATCAAAGCTGAATATTTTTGGAAGTAGTTTTTAGTTTGTTTTTAGTTTTAGCTATGTTAGGGGGATATCTGTGTGTGCAGGTGACTATTACTGTGCATAATTATTAGGCAACTTAACAAAAAACAAATATATACCCATTTCAATTATTTATTATTACCAGTGAAACCAATATAACATCTCAACATTCACAAATATACATTTCTGACATTCAAAAACAAAACAAAAACAAATCAGTGACCAATATAGCCACCTTTCTTTGCAAGGACACTCAAAAGCCTGCCATCCATGGATTCTGTCAGTGTTTTGATCTGTTCACCATCAACATTGCGTGCAGCAGCAACCACAGCCTCCCAGACACTGTTCAGAGAGGTGTACTGTTTTCCCTCCTTGTAAATCTCACATTTGATGATGGACCACAGGTTCTCAATGGGGTTCAGATCAGGTGAACAAGGAGGCCATGTCATTAGATTTTCTTCTTTTATACCCTTTCTTGCCAGCCACGCTGTGGAGTACTTGGACGCGTGTGATGGAGCATTGTCCTGCATGAAAATCAAGTTTTTCTTGAAGGATGCAGACTTCTTCCTGTACCACTGCTTGAAGAAGGTGTCTTCCAGGAACTGGCAGTAGGACTGGGAGTTGAGCTTGACTCCATCCTCAACCCGAAAAGGCCCCACAAGCTCATCTTTGATGATACCAGCCCAAACCAGTACTCCACCTCCACCTTGCTGGCGTCTGAGTCGGACTGGAGCTCTCTGCCCTTTACCAATCCAGCCACGGGCCCATCCATCTGGCCCATCAAGACTCACTCTCATTTCATCAGTCCATAAAACCTTAGAAAAATCAGTCTTGAGATATTTCTTGGCCCAGTCTTGACGTTTCAGCTTGTATGTCTTGTTCAGTGGTGGTCGTCTTTCAGCCTTTCTTACCTTGGCCATGTCTCTGAGTATTGCACACCTTGTGCTTTTGGGCACTCCAGTGATGTTGCAGCTCTGAAATATGGCCAAACTGGTGGCAAGTGGCATCGTGGCAGCTGCACGCTTGACTTTTCTCAGTTCATGGGCAGTTATTTTGCGCCTTGGTTTTTCCACACGCTTCTTGCGACCCTGTTGACTATTTTGAATGAAACGCTTGATTGTTCGATGATCACGCTTCAGAAGCTTTGCAATTTTAAGAGTGCTGCATCCCTCTGCAAGATATCTCACTATTTTTGACTTTTCTGAGCCTGTCAAGTCCTTCTTTTGACCCATTTTGCCAAAGGAAAGGAAGTTGCCTAATAATTATGCACACCTGATATAGGGTGTTGATGTCATTAGACCACACCCCTTCTCATTACAGAGATGCACATCACCTAATATGCTTAATTGGTAGTAGGCTTTCAAGCCTATACAGCTTGGAGTAAGACAACATGCATAAAGAGGATGATGTGGTCAAAATACTCATTTGCCTAATAATTCTGCACTCCCTGTATGGGTTCTAGGTTGTAGGCTTGTTATGCAGATCCAGGATCTAGGATGTTCTATGCTAGTCTAAGCTTGACCGGTATATAAATCATGTATATAAATCATGTATATGTCTTCTACAGGCCAAGGCAAAATACAAATGGGCAGCAATGCGTTATTAATTTGTTAAATAACTCTGATGATAATATTTAATAAATGAAAGGACAGTAAGCACCCATAGAAAGAAGGAGGAATATGAAACACTTTCTTCATCTTCTTTTGTCCACTTATAAAAAATGGATTGTTAAATATCTCCTGCACAATCTCCTCACATTGACATTCTCAGAAAAAAAGTAAATACTCAATTCAATAATAAAAAAATACTAGCCCTAATATATGTTGTTTTTTTCTGTAATAATGAGAAAATGACCCAAAACACAAATAATTTGATTATATGCATCTCCTCTACCATATACACAAGCAAAGTGATATCAGATGCCCAAGTGGCAAGTGACTGTGTGAATATTAACTGAATTACATCATTTGATTCTCATGGCTGACCCATAATTAAAGGGACACTATAGGCATTAAAACACCTGTATATTTTTTTTTAAAAGAAAGGAGACTAAATCAGTTAGCTCCATAGCCATGGATCTAATAAGACAATCGTACTGAAATATAGAACCTTCAGCTAAAAAACATTGGGAAAAAAACGTTTAACCACAAAATCTCAGATAAGGAATGGTGCTCCCCTTTGACAGTAGTTAAAAAGCATATACATTGCCATTCTATATTATAGAATTTTTTTTAAAGTACTTCATAGACAGTACCTAGTCCCAGTTAGACTGGCTAAGATATATTTGACCAATTCCCCACTTTGTTGGAGATGTCTAGCCCAGGAAGGAACTATGTTACATATTAGGTGGAATTACCAAAAATAATTACATTCTGGGACTTGATATATTCTATTATGTCAGCCTTTAATATAAATTTAAAGAAATCTCCAGAAATTAGCTTGCTTCACCTTAAATTTGGTAAACTTCCAAAAAATCATCAAATATTTACCCTACATTGTCTTACGTCCGCAAAAATAGTAATTGCAAGATCATGGAAACAAATATCAACTCCAGATATCACACAGAAAAAAAACAAAACTTATATTTCAGCTTGAAATGGAGAGGGGAGTCTCATATTCAAATAATAATCTCAAATATATACATCATTATGAACAGTGGATCAAAAAGATTAAAGAAATATTTTAATAACTAGTTCCATTCCATTAACAGCTTACTTTATGTATATCCTTCTAAATAGAGAAATACACTAAACAACAATAAATGTATTTAACTTTTGTAATGTATTGTGTTTGTATAATGTTTGTTTTTTAATTGTTTTACGTATGTATGTATAATTGTATGTATAATTGAAGCAAAAAAAAAACCTCAATAAAAATATTGAAACATAAAACCCCTGTAGTCTCATGAGACAGTTTTGGTGTATAGATCTTGCCCTGCAGTCTCACTGCTCAATTCTCTGACATTTGAAAGTGAATTCACTTTTGTTTCTGTTTATGCAGCCCTAGGCTGTAACTCACCCAACCTGAATAAAAAAATAAAATGTTTATTTTTCAATCAGATGTTAACTTACTTTAGAGGTTATTATCTCCTTCTCTGTAAATTGAACAGAATGCTATTAATAGAGGAGGAGATCGGACATTTTAAATTAAACATAATGTGCAATAAAGGAATTATAAAC